AGAATGTACGATGAGGGAGATTATAAAACAGGGGAATTTGGTCAATGCGTGGTGAGAGGAAGATGCAGAGGAATGAGATTGGACTGCCCACTTCACTGCGGCGGGCCTTGCTTCTACGACTGCCGGTACATGTGCAAGGCCCACTGCCGACGCCCCTAATCAAACGGAAAGCTGTTTCAATTTTCATTCATTTGCTAGTGGATATGCAGCTATAGAAATTACCTCTTTTTATTGTTGGTTCATTGATTGGTTTGATGGGAAGTGTGCTTTAATTTTAACCTTTTCTGTGTTTCAATGTCGTGTGATGAATTGCCTAATGAAGTTGAGTGTCTTGTGTATGGGCTTGGAGTTGTAACAAATTAAGATTGATTATCATTAAACTTTGAAATTTTCTAGAAAACAGTTTTGAGAAATGAAGTCAGGGAGATTAGTAAGGTTCATGAGTTTTATAACCAACTTGAATGAGTTTCAAAAGGATGTAGAAAAGGAGAATCCATGGAGTTGAAGGTTTGATGAGGCAAAAGAAGAGGGAGCTTTTTCACTCGTCTCTCTCGTGACAAATTTCAAAATGTACAAAATTCACAAGCACAAAAAGGCTGCTGCCATTTACAGGAAAAGCAGGGGGATTTCAGAGTTCAATCCAGAGATGTCAAGAGGATCTGTATCTTCTCGACCAAACACAAATCTCCGGCACCGTAAATCCGTCGTCCCTCCGACTCCACCTACCGCCGCCGCCGCCTCCTCCTCTGGCTTTCTCGTTCCCACCTCCATTTCTCTCGTTCAACTCAATCTCCCAGCTCACTTCTGTACAAAACAGAGGAACTGATGCGAGAGAATCCCGGCTCGTTTCTAGTTCAACTAAATCATCAAGAAATGGAAAAACCCAGTCACCATCATCGCTCTGCAACTGGGTTAATTAAAACAGTAATTAAAAACAGAAAAAAAGAAAACAAGATCCATCTCCAGGAAAAAGATTAGAAAAATCTGCGGTTCCGTAAATCCAGAGTTGCAGACCTTATAGAAACCAAAAGGAGCAGAGGACGAATCGAGAAACTCCTCCAAATTCCATCCGGGAATCGTCTCAATCAAATACTCCGACACGGTATCCGTCGGGTCACCCCCATCGGCGGAGGCAGCCGCCACCGGCACGTTAGACATCGAACTCTCGGCAAGAGAAGGCGAATGCGAAACAGGGGCAGAAGCATTGGCAGTCTTCTCGAACAGGGGTTGCGAATTAGGGTCAGAATTAAACGCGAAGCTCGCCTCGGATGAAGAAGAGGCCGCGTTGAGCGCAGAAACACAAGAAAGCTTAATCCCAGTCAGTAGGAATCGATCATGTTTCTGGGTGAGTTCGTTGACGGCGTGGATGGGAAGATCGCAGTCTCGGCATAGAATCGCTCGGTCCTGCTGGCAGAACAGAAAAGCTCGCCTCTCCTGCAAACAAAAAGAGAAGAATCATCAATCAATTTGGTCGAAATCGAAACCCTAATGATGAGAAAAGGGGAACCTGGCAGATGTCGCAGAGGGGGAAGTGGTCGTTGGAAGGGTGGAGGAGGGGGAAGCGGTGGTGTTTGGAGGCGAGGATATTGGCGCGGTGGACGCGGTGGTCGCAGGCTTCGCAGAGGGCGGCGTCGTCGGCGGTGCAGAACAGCAGCGCCTCGTCTTTGTTGCAGGCGTCGCACTGAATCTTCATCTCCCTCTTTTCTTTCTTTCCTCTGCAAAAACTTCAAAATTGAAACGAAGCGCTAACAAAATGGAGGCTGTACGGTTATAGTATAGGCGCCACCTGTCCTACGTGACATCAATTAAATGCTCTTAATAAATAAATTCGAAATAAATTACTTGATATTTTGTTTAAAATAAAATTTGTGGATTTATATTTGCACAAAATAAATATTAATCGCGATAAAGCATTTTAAATATTGAATTAAAAACAATAGTTATTTTTATTAAAGTTGCTCTTGTAGCTCAGTTGGTTAGAGCACCGATTTAGTAAGCGGGAGGTCTTGAGTTCAACTCTCAACAGGATCAACATAATTATTTTCTTAATTTTTAACAATATAATATCTGAATAATTGTAATTTTTGTCAATATATTTTTAATCTGTGTAGATCGATACAATCAAATGGGTTTATAAATTAAAAATACTAAATTATTATATAATACAAATCGACAGTTAAATTGATAAGATTTTTATTAATAGATTAAATTGTTGCATTTTTTAAAATATAGTAATAAAATTGTTGTGTATTAAAGTCGAAGTAACAATAACTAAATTAATAATTTAATGAAATTATAGCATAGATAAGTATTTTTTAACATTTAATATAATATTACAAAAATCGTTAGATATCGAGGGTTTTATTATTCATATTATATTGAAACTATCTCTTTTTTTTTTTCTTTTAATGAATTCATTTTTTTAGTACTCATAATGTGATGCTTTTGAGGGGAGGGGGTAAATCACGCATTGAAATTAAGAAGGAAAATACGACACTTTTTTTTTCCTATTTAAACAAACTTGTGTAATCATTGAATTGTCTATTTCTTGAATGTTAAAAACAACACTTTCTAAATAATTAAACAGGAATCTAATACAATTTAAACACTTGAAGTTAGGGTGCAATTTATACATGTGTAGTGATTCTTTAAAACTTAGTTAAAAAATAATTAATATAAATGTAGGTTTTCCATTCATATAATACATATGCATATATTAAGCCATGAATTAGTCCAATAGTAAAAATGCAAAAGAAAAATAAGGAGATTCTCCCCAAATAAATTATAAATCTTGATATGACTATTCTTCTAAAATATTAAATTAGCACGTTAAAGGTGGATTAGAATAAGACTATTCTGGAATTGACACAGAGATCCTGAGAAAGACGGATTCGAAATTGTATTGTAACAATTGTTGATGTATAGTTGGAACACGTCATGTCGAGTCAACCGAGCTAAGTACATACACATAGAACTTTGCATGGGCATGGATACCATGTTCGACCACATACATTAGAGTTGTGCCAAGTTTGATAAGATGCATAGAAATGACGTATTTTTGAGAGGATCCATTCTAAAACTCATATTTTTCGCGCCACCTCCTATTGGGTTATCATAGATGATTCAAACAATCTCAATTTGTTATTGATTTGCTCGAGTTGAAGTTCGAACCCATATTTTTAGTAAGTAATCTACTCGACAAGCTTAGAAATTACCCATGATCACAAATAGTGTTTATCGAAGATATTAAATTTGTAGAAACTTCTTACGTATGAAATGATTTTCAGAAAAGAAAAAAAAAAAAAGAAATCCAAGTGGGCATATAAAAGGGAAAACGAGAAAAAAAAGGAGGGAAAGGATCAAATACCATACCTTAATTGGAAACACATCCAGAAGAGAGATGGGGTTTTTAAGCTGACCATACCGACTCAATCCGTTTATTTAAAACGGTGAAAGTGAAACCGATTTGCCAGGACGTGGTTTCCACGCGCCCTGCCCATCGGGACCACCATAGCCATTTTAATAGCTTATTATTATTATTATTATTTTCGTTTTCAAAACTTTATTGGCAAAAATACATTAAAAAAAATCAAACACATCCATTTTCCATTGTCATCTTCTCGAATGTAGACAGCGTTGGAATTAATTCAAATCACGAGTTTGCAAAAATAACATATAATGCTGTGCTTTTTGCTTTTCACATTTGACAAAAATATTACACTTTTGTTGTAGTTCAACTATGGAAGTTCAAAATTGATGATACATACTTTGATAGAAAACATTTTATTAAATGATAGAAAATAAAAAATTTAATTACTATTTTAATTCTATATTTAATTTAAATTTGGTTCATTTTAGTCCATTCATATTAATTATCAATTATAATTTTTATGTACAGAATTTTAAATCATTTAATACAAATTTACAGTTACATTTGAAAAAATTTGCAAATGAAATACATATTGAGAAAAATGAGATAAAAAAATTAAAAGACTAAAATGACCGCTTGTTTTTTGTCTTTTAAAAAAGCCTAACTAACTAGCAAACAAAAACGTATTTTTTTCTAAAAGAAGAAACTAAAAACAACCACCACGCTATTTTTGAATTAAAAGAGTGAATTATTACATTATTTGGAATAATTCTGGCTGTTTATTGCCTTCTTCGTTCAAGTTTCTAAATTTGTATCCCATTCATTCTATTATCGAGTGAATAATTGTTGACCAATTAATGCACCGTCTACATCCTATGCCAAACCCCTGCGCCCTATCCCCACCCATATAGAATGGAACTTCCACTTTCCTTTTTAGGTAAATTACACACAAATCTAAACCCACTACATCATTATATGTTTCTGTGACTTCGATCACCCACCCCACGTACTAAAAAAAAATGAAGAAAAGAAATGTGATTAAAAAAATAGTGGCTATAATTTAGCCAAAGTTGTTATTAGTTAGCCTTGTTAATGATATTGTTGGATAGCCTGGTAGGAAAAAAAGGAGTGATTCATTTCTGGTATAAATAATAATCAAATACTTCTCTGTTCTTCCAGGCTAAGCAAAAGGCCAGAATCTAAAATCTCAAGTAGATGAAGCACAAATTTATCAAAAGATCTTAAAAGTATATTATGATCAAAAGGCTGGAATATCATATATCACAATTTATCGAATGACTCTGCAGTTATATTCTTTGGTTCTGGTTTTCTACCCCACAAGACATTAATTGGTTGAAATTGGTGGGTAGTGAACAGGAAGGGGCACTGAAAAGTGAAGGGAGATGTAAACTAAAAGTAAAGACAAAAGCAGAGAGTGGTATGGAAACCCATAATCCTAGGCTGCTCTCCCCTTATTGCCTTCCTTCAAGTTTCAGATCTATCCACCATTATTTGTTACTTCTACTACGCTTTCCAGGACCATTCTACCACTCCACCATGCAAAAACAAAATACTAAACACGGTTAAACATGTTTTTCTTCTCCAATTTGGTTCCATTTTCATCCCTAGTTGTAAGAACAATTGCAGAAATTATAAACTCTACAGAACAGGTGAAATTGTGAAGGCACACGTAGTTGGACTGAATAATTCATATATAGACAGCCCTCATCATGACCTGGCTATTCATATATGTCCAAACAAGATTGCTCAGGTCGGCTTTAAAACTACAAGTGGGCCCATCCTAAGGATCAAGCACTCTCACCCTAACCACAATTATAATATATTTCTCAAACCTTTTAATTATATCTTTAAATATGAAAAGAAGCAATATACTAACAATTCACTCCAACTTGGAGTTTTGGAAAAAGCGATAAGTTATAGCAATAGATTCCTATCAATCATTTTAGTGTTAAAATGGTAAAACATAAGGAGGGAGTGACAGATAAAACTTAAAAGTAAGCGGTTACCTGCTCTTCTGGGAAACCTCTTGAAAGGGGCAGTAGAAAGGAGCGCAGGTACCAAGAAGATTCATCCCCTTTCTCGACAACAACAAAGAATTGATGAGATGAGTTCAGTTAAGATGGATAAGGATTTAGCAATTTGGACAGGACAGTGAGTACCTCCAATCCAACAACACATCAACCACTGGCAGTCTCTACGTGCCCTCAGCTCCGTACTAAAACCATTTTCCAGCGTCTCGATGTGCTGAGCTATGCCCTCCATTAGCTTCTAGCCGCTAATGCTTATTTTACCGATACATATCAGTTGAAGACAGACCCTTCTGAGTTGAAATCTTGATTAGATTGTGGAAAATTGCCCGAACCTGCAGTTTCTTATGTCACGAATTTGTCAGACTTCCATTAATCCGTCCTTTCCCCTTCCAATTACTTGGTAATAAAGAGACCCAATTTCGCGTAGACAGACCCATGTCTTTCGTATTAATGATCTCTTTTCTAAATTTACGGCTCTGTATTTGAATTGACTGTCAAATGTTGCTACTTCCAACAAAGTTAAACCCAATTACACTCCTCTATTTAATATATCTCCAAGGCTGTTCAATGGCAAGGACAAACTTAGAGAAGGTGAGGCCTTTATTACAAGATATTCGCAATATATTACACATCGTAGATTATACATTAGATGCATTTGCTGAATTTCGAAACTATTTCACAACTTAATCAGCAAAGGATAAGATCAGTTTCTTGTAAGTTCCACACACGAGCTTGTTAAATAATGTCAGAGTTATGATAGCGAAGCAGAAGGAACCTCCTTTGAAGCTACAATCCACTTTGACTCGAGCCAAGTTGCTACGCCTTCTAGACAGGTATGGAATTGGCCAAGCTGGATTGCAGGGTGGGCAGAAAGAGTACCCAGATTCGATTTCAGGGACCATTACCTTCAATTTGACCTGAAGCTATATCCATAAAGATAGCAACTTTCGTTGGTGGGGCCCCAAAGTGCAACGGTGGGGAACATCATGGTGAAACCTGTGGGACTGCCGAAACCCACTTGGATGAGCTAAAGGAAGAACCAGAATTCAGGTCTGAGTCAGGTATCGTGGCCGGGTGGGGTAGAGAAGAGTATAAATTTACCTATATCTTCGCAATTTGGCTGGACAGCTCCTTGCTAATGCTAACTGCTCGAAATAATCTCCACAAATGCGTTGCTATTATTTTCCATCTTTAGCAATCCAATGAAACCTCATTGAGAAGAAAGCTATTGAATCACAAAGAAATATACGAAATAACTACCGGGACAAATAGAATTTCCATTTTTAAAATCACATACCAGACATCAATTTAACACAACATACCTAAAAGACCCAGAACGTGCAGAAAAATGAGCACCTTCCGACTGTACAACTGTTCATGCTAGCTAGGCTGTCATCTATCATCATGATTGATACTCCTGTTTGTGAGAGGTCTTGCCTATGTTATCCATATATTGCTTCATACAAACTGGGCTCGACTCAAATATAAATGACATTCCCCTTATCTGCAAATGCACAAATGAAATGAGTATAATGTATAACATTCAATTCTCGATCATCGACATATCATCCGTCAACATAATCAGCTAGAAAGTCAAAACCTTCCAAGGCTCCAAGTCCATAAAGAACTATAGTTTTACAGATAAGACAAAGAATTGCTGTATCTCTTAATTATACTATAAAGCACAACGTCTAGCTTTTCTAAGTAATACATAGGGGGATAGTGCAAGTATTCTCTTAATAAAGATGAAGTCACATTAACGATGTCAATCATAAAACATGCGGGAGCCAAAAAAATCATGAAATAACATCACTTAATCCACCAACAAACCTTACGTGAAACACTACTGAATCTGTCAGTAATCTTAAAGACATCAATTCCATGTGGGAAAAAAATCAAGAGATGTGTATCATTTTCCAGAAAAGAGAACCAGAATCATTACATATTATTCCTTCCTGGTAACTACAGCAACATACCTCAATCAAGCAACCCGAATTAAGTCTCAAGCAGTGCCCAGGGGCCACTTCCTTGTTATTTATGGAGATCGAACACTTGCCAAGATTCTTCAGGGAGAAAAATCCATCTTGATCTATCTTTATAATTGCCTAGAAAGAGAATAAGATTCATCCGTCTCCATAAGGACACTCTTTGAACAGGAGAAAAATAAACAAGCAAATATTTGCACACAGCTAAAAAAGAAAATCGCAACCACATTCTCAATATTAATATACTTTATTTGAAATAAAAACTGAATCAAATCTACCTGCCGTCGAGATATTTTATTACCACTTCCCTCCCTTCCTAAGTCAATGTCCACAATGACATCCTCGGTAGCTCTACCTAATAGAACCTGCATATAAAATGATAATTAAGTCAGTAAGCTAAACCAGATAAATTTCATTGGGAACAAACTCAGTCAGCAGTGCTTTTCAGTGAAGAAGTGTTGCTTCAGTGCACTCTTCCACAGGCTCCATCATCGTTTAAGTTATCATATTGAATACATAGTTGAGCTCAATTAAATCCTTCTCAGATAACAGATCTGTCTAAGACTCTAAGGTAGTCATTGGGTACAGAATCACAAAGGGGCAGGAAAAAGGAGCACAGGAAAAGAAGTCAGAAGTGAGAAAAAACTGCCAATAGAAACTGACCTAATACCCATATACTCACTGGACAAGACCACCATACCAATTTCCTGTACGGTGACAAACAGCATCTTAAATCTTATCCTACTGAAGTCATCCCAGGACCTCATAGAACTCCCCAAACAAGACCTCAGTGATAAAGAAGAGAATGATCCACCGATAAATCATAACGTAGCTAACTTGAAAATATAAATAAATAAAGTACCTCTGATTTCTTAATGTAGTGCTTTGAATATCGGCCATACAGAACTGCTAATGCCCCATGGGATGCCATAGATCTTTTCATACAAGCATGAGCCCCCTGCTCCAGTCTTACGATTCTCTTCTTGGTGTCCATGTGTTGATACCTTAAGACTACAAAGTAAACAAGAATATAAGAATATTACATGGCCCTATTTTAACCACAACGACATTGGAAATAACATATAAAAATGACAAATAATACAATGTTTTGCAAGGGAGAAGGACAAATAATTAATAAAAATAAAGAAAAGCTAAACTTTGGTCTCAATCTCAACCAAGTGTAAGATCTGCAACAGTTTGTCTTTTTAATCGAGATACCAAACTTTCATGGAGAGAAAAAAAATGAAAGAATAATATGCAACAGTTTTTGGTCGACTAATGTGAAAAGAATATGCAGGCACTTGTGCACTATGACTGACAGTTGATCATCAGCAAGTTAGTTTTTGCTGGAATGTATTAAGAATAATTATACGCTACCAACAGCCAGTTAAAAAGTTGAGATTCAGAAACGATAGGCATGGAAAATTGACTTCTTTCAAGTACCATGTTTGAAGATATGCGAGAGAATGTAAAGAGAACATCAACATATAGTTAGTTCGCACATTTAGGATCTTGGACAGCAAACTTGAAATAGCAAACAATTCATTGCTCGCATCCACAAAATTATATTCAAGCAGATGTGCACCATGTATGTTCAAATGCATGCCCTACCAAGCATTTAAAATACAATAATAGAAACAACTCTACGATGATCAATTGATGGCAGAGCATGCACCAACCAATTTAGAATAAAAAAATTGCCCAAAATGATTTAAATGACATGATTCCAGAAACTATAAATAAATTGATATTCTTTATTTTGTTCCGGATGAGATAAAATAGGGATAGTGTAATTAAAATTTTCAGTTTGGACGTTTCCTTAAAATGAAAATAAAATGCATATTTTATTTTTTTACCCTAGATTATAACCTGAAAATGAGAAGTTAAAATACAATGATTACAATGTGTCATTCAAACTGGAAAGTTGGAAGCCATGCAAAATCAACAGTTTCAATTTGGAAAATTTTAAAGCAAGAACATCATTTGGAATCACTTTTGATTTCAATCAGTTTGTTTTAAATGATAACTAAACGGGAAAGGAAAAAAAAGTTGTTTCAAACCAATATTATGATATTAAATCTTTTAAAAATCCCATGAAAGCAAATGAAACATAACACACACACACAAAAGGTGAGTAATAATCTACTGCTATTTCATCTTTACATGTTAAGAACTAGTATTTGTAGTTAGCAAACCTGCAACATACTTAAAAATTATTTTAACCAGAAATTACATTAATGGCAATTAACCATTTAATAACTATTAGCATCCATATGTACCTTCTTCACTTGTATACAGATCCTGATCTTCTGGATCCAAGTCCATATCAAGTATCTGAAAGAAATAGTTTAAGATCTTGTAAGAAACTTATTAAGCAAGAGATACAGATAGCCATCTGTCACTTAACTATTCACCATAAACATATTACCATTGCCTCGATATCTGAAAAATGAGGTACATCATCTTCACTATCAATAGATAACTCTTCCTGATCAGACGTTGAAGATATTCCATCTTGTTCTACACCAAAAACACCTCGGGAACCTGCTTCCTGTGATAATCGATGATCTTTCACCATAGTCAATATATCTGGTTCCTGTTTAATGCCAGAAGCAGTACTTGGTGGATATTTTCTAAAATTCTCAGAATCAAAGCCTGGCTTCTCTACATGTGTATTTAAAAAATTCTGGCCAAGATGATTTACCCGAGAAATTTCTTGGCTCTCTTCCTTGAGAGTGACAGGTAGGATAGCATCACCATTTGCATTTATGGAGCTAGAATAACTTGAACCACCAGCATTATTCGCAGATGGAACGTGTATAGAGTTGCTATGGCATAATTTTAAATTAACAGCAGCTCCACCAACCAGATGTTTTTCACCTCTTTCAGGCAAACCATGCAATCCTATTGATAGAGAAGAAACATGAGGTTGCCCATGATTTTTCCTCTCCCTTTGCACAAGGTTTTGAGTCATTTCACCAGATTTTTCATTACAAGAGAAATCCTTAATAGATGAAAAGGTATCATCGATGCGATCTTGAAAATGATATCCCATTGAAGAGATTGTCGACAATGGAGGTAGAAAAACGTCATCATTGCTTGGAATTTCTGGATCTTCTGTGTTCAAAGTGCAGAAAAGAGGTTCATCACCTTTTCCAAGACATTGACTGTTCAAAGATGCAGACGGCGATGGATGAACTTCCAAACTACAATCCAAATGTCCATCACTACAATGAGATCCTTTTTCATATAACTCTCCAGAACATGCAGTGGGAGGATCTACCATTGAATCCGTTGGTAACAATGTTTCTGTATTAACTGCATCTGCTGTTTGATCATGATTGACTTCATTTGGTGAATTCAACAAAAGCGAGCTCAAACCATCATAGTATGACTTATCAATCACATCCTTTCCATCATCGTCCATGAAAAGTAGCTCATCCTCATTAGTTAAGTTCAAAAGAGAGTTGGACAGTTCCGCTAGATAAACTTCAGCAGTGGCATTTGGACTTTTCAAATGATCATGCTGCACTTCAATCTTCAACTTCGAGTCAGAGCGGGCATCATAGTCAGCTATTCTTGCATTTTGAATGTTGTTGTTTCCATCATCATCGGGAAGTTCAAAAGAGTCTCCTGTAGGCAAATCCTTATCTGAAAAGCCAACATCAATAGGCAAGGCTGGTGCTGAGGCATTTCTCCATATTGGCATACCAGGAAGAGGAGACGAATACTCGACATTGTGAAATGATGCACCAGAATCAGAAACGGGAGAATTAAAGACCTCATTGTCTTCTAGTTCAGAGCCCATTGCTCTCTGATCCTTGCTTGGTTGCCCAAAAGTAGATGGTCTCACCTCCAAATCATTTTCAAAGAGACTATGGACTGGAAAGCTAGCTGATGGAGCCAATTCTTCAACCTGAGATTCATTCCCAGAGAGAGGCAGATTCTCCCTCATAATATGAGGAATTCCCTCGTGTACATTATCTAGGTTCGCAGGAAAATGCTTTTCAACAGTGTGTTGACATCTGGAATGAAAAGTGCCCTCAGTGTCATCATTATTCATCATATTTGGGGCAAAATTAGAGGGCAAGATCCCCAGCTCTGACCTCTGAAGTCCAAAATCACTTGATATTGGAGGGATACAATCTCCAGACATAGGCTCTTCAACTACATAGTTACTATCACTGGGTCCAACAAGAAAACTCAGGTCCATAGGGTTAAATGGTTCATTGCAAATCCTTTTACGCAAAGCATAATAGCAACGGCGTACACTTCCATATTTTCTCTTCCCACCAATACATTTAGTTTCTTTTGGATTCCCAAACTTGTTGAACTTTGATGGAAGAATGGAAGAAGAACGCTCAAAGTCAATCATGGACATAGATGCTTCTTCAGATACAATTGGATCATAAAGTAAAGAATGCCATCGTTCTTGCAATTCTCTTACTGTGTATCTTCGAGAAAACTGCACCGCACCTTTGGCAAGGGACTCCAAGGAAGCACCCGCCTAGAAGTTTTTAAAATAAAATGTGACCCAAAAAGCACCAGTATACAAGTTCTGCTGACACCAAAAATAAACTGGCACGTGTATAAAGAAACTGAAGCACATAATGTATGGTCTACTAGTGGCTCATGACGAAGAGGATGGCTCAGCAAATAAAGGTGTAAGAACCAAATATTATCAATCTTCTTTCCTCTTTCTTAAGAACACTGACAATTCAATTGTTTTTGTTACATCATTACCTCAAGAAAATGTAAGTTATGTAATATATTGTGCCTTAAGACTTAAGAGGCTTTTCTTTTCAAAAAAAAAAAAAAAGAGTGCTTTCAAATCGTAGAGACCTCTTCAATACCCTTTTTTTAAGGAACATATCCTTAATTACCGAAGCAACGTATTCTGCCGATTTAAATGACGAATTATAACTTCCAGGCGGATAAAACAATTAAATGCTTTCAAGTTATTAAAAAATAAAATCCCTCTATAAATAATACCATGGATTTTCTAACACAAACATCCCGTCTAGCATAACTTGAACAGCATGTGATGTGATGTGATGTTGACCGTGCAGTCAAGGAGACGGAACGTTTCCAATTTCCCATAGAATCTCTGGGGCGCCTTTAGTTAACATAAACATTTGCGACAACCAGAATAATACGGTATCATAATCACCACGAGGGAAGGGGGGAAAAATGAAAAAGAAGGCATTCAACAGTGAGGAGAAACTCGGCAATCAAATTTTACTTTCTTTATTAGGAAAAAAAAAAGAAAGAAAGAAAGAAAGAAACAGTTCAGCCGTAAGGAATACAATTCACCCGACTGCCAACTGGGGGGAGTAGAAAAACGATTTCAATTGAGACAATCAACCACGAGTAATCGAAGGGAATGCATAAATGTTGAAAGGAATTGGAGAGAGGGGAAATAGTTATACCTCAATGGCGTTCTTGAGCAGAATATCATCTTCAGGAGTCCAAGGCGCGACAGGGGCAAGAGCTCCCATCTCCAAGAAGCTACAATTCCTTGCACTCCCTCTTTAGGAAGAGTAATGTTGGCACCAAAGGTAGCAGCGAGGCGAGCGAAGCCGAGGAAGGTTGAAGGAAGGATATGGCGTCGGAGCCGGGGGTGGGAGGGGGGGGTTTAAGAGAAACCCTAGACTGTAGAGACTGGAGAGTGAAAATTGGGGAGCAAGGAAAGCGGAGGTTTCGAAACGCGGCGAGGCCAATCGGTGACCTCGGAGTGACCAGTGATAGCATGGAAATTCTGTGAAACCGCAATGGAACAATGACACGTGCGACCTTGCTTCTTTTCTCACACCGGTGACTACTTTTTCTCCCCGTCGTCCGATCCGATCTCATACGCATCTCTGGGCCCACCCCAAGATGTTACAAAATCTTCGATTTTTACCAAAATTAAAACCAACAGAGAAGGGGGGGAATTTTGACCAATTCTTAACTTCAGTGCATTACTTTTTAATTTTAAATTATATACGTATATTATTTTTCTGTAATTACAAAATTCAGAATCTGAAAATGAAAAATATTTTCTACAAAATCGTATCGAGATATGCTTTCCTATGAAGATCGCATTTTATGACTATTTTTGTATTTTTAGTAAAACATGCAATTTTATTCGTAATTTTTACATATGTATTATTTATTATTTTTGGGATCATTATTATTCGTATTCCATTAGTTTTAGTAAAATCTGTTAGATTTTGCCTTCAGTTTAGCGACATCTCAGGCATATTGAGATGAAAACATTGAAAATACATAAAATAAATATTTAATATTCCAATATTTATCTTGAGAATATTGATTGAATTCAACAACAATAACCCCTTAAAAGCAAATTCCATCCAACAAATCTAGAAAAAAAATAACGGAAACATAATCTAACAAAAACTGCAACATACCGTACTAAAAAAATAAATGGAAAAACAATATAAAAAATACTTTTATGTATACCGGCATATCGAAAAAATAACTCTAAAAGCACCCAAGAAACACTTCAAAAGAAGATTTCATAGATTTGAGCAAGAGAATTCTGTAATCATCCATCTTATAAATTCATGTACACAATTTCTAGGGTGGGTTGTAGAGGCTAGGGTCGTAGTACGTGCTAGACAACATCTTGCACATGTACGAGAGTCATGCACCTACACATTATATCGGAGACGGTGCCTTGAACTTTGTTTAAAATAGATGTCAAACAACATTCTTAATAACAAATAATAACAATTAAGTTACATTTTTTAGTTGAATAAATATGAGGTAGGGAGTTTGACAAAATGCTCGAATTAACATATTTTGTTGATTTGAATAGACACGTTTACCTAATGGATAATCTTTTGTTTAGTTTGGGTAAGAAATAATTAACTTGAACAAATGCACATCAACCATGCACTTAATATTTTTTTTTCTTTTTAAAAGAAATATGTAAACAATATTAGTGAGAAATGCAAAATAATATATTTAAACTTATTTTTAACTGCTAAATAAACAAAACACATGCAAACAATAACTATTATCGTAGGGTTAAGAAGTTGAGAAATGCAATACCTACCCCTGGAGGCTGCAATGCAAGGCAAGACGCAATCCATTAAACTTTGTATCGTCATTCATAACTCATCATCAGAAACTTGGTCAAAAAAATCCCTTCAACAAAAACCATTCAATCTCCTTCTTCAATGAACAAATTAAAAGGTCGTCTCACTTGACACTGAATCCAGAAAAAAAAAGAAGGGAAAACACACGTAGGATAGTTGACATATGATATGGGCTATGATTTTATGGGTGTGGCAGTCACTAGTTAAAAATACCAGACGGTAAAAAAGAAAAAATCAAGTGAAGCAAAGCAAAGTGTGTGTCTTAGAAGAGCAAAATAAAAGCAAATTAAATGCAGGGCTGCCGTAAAAACTGCAGTTTTGTTTGTTTTTACTCGAGCAGTGGATAGGTTGTGAGATCTGGAGGCGGCGCGTGGTGAATATTGGGGTGGTTTGGCTGTAAACGCAGGGCAAATATGCGAGGACCGCCGCCAGAGAAGCCCATAATAGAATCATAATCTCCTCCTACTCCTCCATTGTCTACCAAACCATAATGTGGATCTTCCTCTGTTGCAATATCCTGAAACCAATGCCAACAAAACAAAACAAATACAAAAGTTTTCACCATTTGGGTTTTTTTCCCTCCCTTGAATTCCCAAGTCTCAATATTTAACTGTATTCACTTACAAACTCCTGGAGAAGACTCTTGTGTATTTCTCCTACACTTTTTAACTGCATTTGGACAGGTGAGAAGATGATAATGTTAATATATATAACTCACAATAGTATTGTATTCACAACGAAAAATTATGATAAACTACATATTACCTTTTTTCTTGTCAAAAGTTCAATTTCTCCACCCTACTTTTGTGGACTAAAAGAAAAATAATAACTTGCATTATGTTGATAACTTACCTTTTTCTTGTGCGTTTCAATCTGGTTTGATATCACTCGATACTGTCGAACAAAGATTCAAATTGAAATTGTGTCAATTGAATATAAGCGTAGCATCCCTTAAAAGATAGATATATATTCGAAGTTATATAATGTCAGATTTGCAAAAAGTTGTAGAGACCAGATTTTTATCCACGAAAAAAACAAATGTTTCTTCCCCTTTGCCTAATAACATTCATTGAAGAACATGACCTACCTTATTCCAAGCCACTAGAACATATAGTTGATTATTCATGGGTACCAGAATTTCCGAAATTCAATCCACCTAAATATTTTAACTATGGCCAATTAATTTGCAAAATGAGAGTTGAGAATTTCAATTTTATGAAGAGTCAAAGATATTGTCTACTTCCAAGAAAGCTAAATATTGAGTATTTTTTCGATTACCTATACATAATTTCATATAGTGGTGTGTTATCAAGTTTCTACGATAAAGGATTTTTTTGTTTAGAATATGAAGATCTGAACATCTAGACTTAGGCCAAGAGAAGAGACAATATCATTTACCACCGAATTATATACTCACATCAAATTAATTGTAAATTGACTTTAAAAACAATGGCTTATTTGGGAAAACTATTTTCTATCTTAAAAAGTATGATAGAATAATGAATAAATGTTAAGGGTATCATGCACGTGAAGAAAAAATAGCTTCATTAATTCTAAAAATAGTTACCTAAATATGTTTTCTTTTAAATTGTGCTCTTAAAGGCAGAAATTTGCATTTAAAAACGACAACTTCGAAAAAACCTCAACTTTCCCTCAAAGTTTGAAGAATCTATGATTGAGTGTAGCTTGTAAATTTTAAGATTGTTATGCATTTAAAATCACTACTCACAAGTCCACTATTTAAAAAATGATCTACTTCTCTAAAACAGGTGAATTAAAAAAAAAAAAAAAACTTTAAAAGTAGCCAAAAACCGTTTTTGAAAAAATGTTTTTATGGCAAAATGTGACGCAAAATCCGGTTGTCGCTCATCTCAATCACAATACGTGAGAGCGATCATAAAAGGATTAGGAGACTGAAACTGAAAGATGATTTAGAAAGCGCAAAAAATAATTATTTTAAATTGGCCACTAATTAGTAATCAGGACGAGAGATATTATCCATTATCCACAAATATTATTAAAAAAAAGAAAGAGAGAAAGAAAAAACTTCAATCCCAAGACAAAATACTGATAACAGTTATATAACTTATAACTTCAGAGATGACCAAAAGAAAATGGATCGAAATAATTATTAGTGTACTTTTTAAAAGCGAGTTGAATTTTAATTTGTTCTACTGATCTCTCTATTTTAGGCTAATCAAAAGAAAAAACTTCTCTCTCACCTTGCGTTCACGGATGATCCTCACAGCGTTGTCCATATCTTGCTCGAGACAGCGCAGCTCCTCAAAACTCAAATCGTTCATGCATTCCCCCATCCTCTGCCTATTATTATTCCAAATAATCAAATCAAGATTTTAAAAAAGAAATTAAATCACATGTTTTAAGGTTGTGTTTAATAGCAACTTTCAATTTATTTAGAATTGTTTGTAACATTTTTAACACTATTTAAAAAGATTTATGGGCGTATTAGATAGGTTATCCGTTTGATAACCATTTTATTTTTCTAAATTATATTTGATATCTATCTTTCTTTGGTATCTTTTTCATATTTCTTGAATGGTTTTCAAACATGGTTTTGAAGAGTTTATTAAGGAATAATTTTGTTCTCACCCCATTAAATGTTCGACAACTAAGAGATAAAATTCAAAAACTAAGATTTTTTTTATAAAATTTAGTGAGTAGTCAATTTTTTAATGGTGATAATTCTTCTAAAACTAAGAGATAAAATGCAAAAACTAAGATTTTTTTTATAAAAATTAGTGAGTAGTCAAATTTTTTAATGGTGGTAATTTGATCCTCACAGCTCAGAACTAAGTATTTTTCCTTATTAAATATTTTCTAAAATGTGGAGATTTTTGAGTTAGCAGAAATTTTAGTGACTAAAACTTGTATTAATAATAATAATAATAATAAATGAAGTAAAAAAAGTTAGGGATTTGGTCAATCGATTACCTAATTTGCCTGCGAAGATTTCTATTTACATCCTTGAGCTTCTTGAGATTCTCTTGCATTCTCTGCACAAATTGATTACACACGAATATAATGAGTAACGATAGAAAGGGGATTTGAGTGAAGAATAAAGAGAGAGAGAAAATGAAGGGGGAATCGGAGACCTCGTAGTGAGAGATCCATAGATCGACGCCTAAAGTCTTCTGGTACTGATCGAACAGCTCCTTCGTCCTGAGCAGCAGAGATGTCCAAAATTAAAAAAAGAAAATCATATTTGTAGGGTTTAAAGAAAGGAGTGAGTGAGTGGTTACGAGGTGGCGGGGCTGATGTACTCGTGGAGTTTTCCGGTGCTGGAGAACATGATAATGGAGACCGTGGCGTCGCAGAGGACGGTGAGTTCGTTGGCCTTCTTGAAGAGGCCGTTGCGCCGCTTCGAGTAGGTCACCTGCCTGTTCGTAGGGTTTTCGATTCTCTTGATCTGGATCTTCCCTCGCGCCATGGATCAATCTCGTTCGAGTTCAGAGGATATTTTGTTTTCTGGATCGGAACTGGAAGATGGAGAAAATGGGGAGTGGGAGGAAGAGAAAGGAAAACAAAAGGGGGAGGCCAAGCCATTGCCGAAAATGGAAAGCCTTGGGCCTAATTCGTGAAAGGTGTTGCAGATTTTACAAATTCCTCGTAATGTCTCCCTTATGTTATTATTACTTATGCGCCCTTTCTACGCTTCTGCTGTGGGCCTCGAACTCGGGACCATTACTTTCCCTCCACCACCACCGTTTCTTTTTTTTCCCAACCCAACCGACACCAAATTTTTTTTTTCTTTTACCTCATGAAAGATGCCACGTGGCAATGACCACGTGATGGGTGAGTCATGCCTCGGCCCCGTATGAGGTGGAGTACATCTTTGAATCTCCTACGTTGACGTACAAATCGCTTACCAGCACGTCTTTGGAGTAGTACTCGTCTCATATAAATATGTTGGGTCTGACGGCAATAAGTATTGATGTAAAAGGCTATTTCTGTAACTTCTGTATTTATTGTTTAGCTTCTCATCTTGTATAAATATTTTCTTCCACGTAATAAGAGCGGATTGAGATAAAGTATCATTGATCTACCTAATAAGTGCTTGATTTTTCTCAAATCACTATGTACATGCAGGATTGCAGACGTAATTGTGGTGCTTGGAGGAGGAATCGATCCATCGATGTAACCAAAAAACTTATGAACTTTTAGAATAGGTGAAATTTGAAATTTTTACGAAACATTATTCGTAGAATCAAGTTGAATTATAATGAGATTACAAATGTTTGTGAGAAAAACAATAGTAGAATGAACGGAAAAAGTCTTAGAAATCGAAGAACTCACTGACGAAGAACTTTCAAGCGCAAAAAAGCACAAAAAAAGCAAAGCTCAGGATATAGCACGTGGAGGATGCGAGTCAAGTCTGCTCTGATACCATGATGATTTGCAAACTCAACTAATTTAACACCCTATCTTATTAATAAATGTGAAGAACGTATTTATACAAGATGAAAAGCTAAACGATAAATACAAAAATTACAGAAATAGCCTTGTACATCAATAATAAGATTTAAAGTCTACCCGGAAGAATCACCCACAATTAGACTACTTTTGGAACATAAGAATTATAATTATCGAAATTTTAAATTAAGAAGGTTGTTATAGTTATAGTTATACTTATTATAAAATTGTTTAAATCTATTTGAGACAACATTAACATATTAGTCCAGCCTCAAGGAATTACCATTCTTTTGTACTAAAAAAAGCTATCAACGATAGAATGTAACCAGAAGCATTTCTAACTTCGAGGAGCTTGAAACTAAAAGTTTAATAACGGGACTACAGTTCTATCAAAATAATAACTAAAAAAGTAATCTAAACTATTAAAAGTTATATTTCAAACTTATTTTTGCGAGTCTATTAACTAGCTTCCTTATTTAATCATGTAACAAGGATGAAATTGATGGTACGCCCCGCGCCGGTTCATTAAAGTCCGTGAATGAAACACGGCGGTCAGCGATAGCCTTTGGTAGCCGATGCTCTAACGTTGTTGGGCTCCGAAGTAATGTCATATCAGACCCACTAAAACAAGGAAATTTTTGAAAGATATGTCTGTCAAACGTCTAATCAAAACCCAAAAATCCCCCAGATTGTAGGACTTTCCCTCTTAAATTCCACGCACCAAGAACTCTCACAACTGTCGTCCATGGCGGCTTAAGCAACCTCCTGAACCTGTAATCGCGCGCCTTTACCAACCCACTTTTCAATACCCATTTTGCTTTCGCGTTAGCTATTGACTTTCCAAACCAGAACACATAATTAAAGCCTGAGATATTTGTTTACTTGTAGAAGACGACAAACTCATGACTTTAATGGATGATTTGATGATGTTCTTGTCCAAATCCGACGGAGGTGACGTGCAAAAGAACACCAAATTTGCAAGAGTTAGTAAATTAAACACCTAATTAATCCTCAATTCCCCATCAATTTGGTCACCTTTTTTTTATTATTATTAAATTCGAACTGTCTTGATATATCACCCATTCTGGACATAGTGCTCATGAATTTACTTTTCATTTCACCAAAAAATTTCATATCTATAGAGATTAATAGAGATCGTATTATTAAACTGAAAAAATCTCATATCTATAGAGATTAACAGAGATCGTATTATTAAACAGTACACTCAATTCTTGACAAACGGGAGAAAGGAACATTAATAGAGGGAGAAAAACTTGTCAAAAATTGAGTGGTAGGCATCAAAATATTGTGTGTATTTAGGGACAACGGTGCCCTTTGTACTCAAGTATTTTGTTTTTGGTTTTACCAAAAAAGGGACCATATCGTGGGAACACCATTCTATCACATTCTCAATCTCCTCATTCCCTCAAATAAAGCTACACCACTCTTTCTATCAGTATTTCCAATATTATCTGCTTTGGACACAATCCTCACAGCTTTGATTTTAKTTTATCCAAAAAGACCTTATACTAATGGAGATAATTGACATCTCTTATATAACATGTATCACCCCTTCCTGAGTCAATATGGAGCTTTGATTGCATATCTTGCAACCCTAATAACCTGGTCTTAATAGAAAAGTATTGTCCAAACTAATTATTATTACAAATTCCTATGATCTTTTGATCGAGATACCTACCAATTGAGTTATGTTCAGATTGACTAAAGCAGCTGATTAATTCTAAGAAATACTAACAAACAAATTAATCATACTAATTAACAACTAGACTACTACAAACTAAATAAACACACGAACTAATATATTATTCAACTTCGCAACGAGATCTCGTACTTTGATACTACGCTAAATTAAATACTCAACTTAAAAGCTTAAATTGATAAATGGTGGTCACTAAACTCATGTGTCTCGGCGGTGAGGTTCAACTCCACCATTCAAAAGAGGGTCGTCGTCCCGTAAGAGCATGTCGGAGTTGAGCAAAGTGGCGGCGACGAGGGAGACGATGACGAAAACTGAGAGGCCGAGAAGAAGAAACATTAGAATTTTTGCAGGGAGAGCTCTGACTTGATGGTGATATTCAATGGAGGCGAGAGCAAGCGCAGAGAGTGGGAAGGAGAAGGCCCACCAGGCTATGTTGAATCTTTTCATTGATCTC